TTATTATTATTATTATTATTATTTTGTGATACTAGGGATTGAACTCAGGACCTTGTGCTTGCCAGGTAAGTGCTTATTCTAGTGAGCTGTCTACCTGGGCCCAAGATTTAAAATTTAGAAATTTATATTTATTTACTATGTTTTTTTTTTTAAACAAGGTCTCACTATGGAGCTCAGGCTAGCCTTGAACTTGTAGCAGGCCCCCTGTCTCAGCCTCCTAAACACTGGAATTATAAACATGTACTACCTCACTTAGCTAAGAGTTTTTATTTATTTTTTAAATTTAAAACCCTTTACTAAATAAAGCAGGATAATGTCAGCATATGGAATCATTACTCTTATGTCACTGAATAATTGATTTTGCCCTTTAGAAAAAATTCCACAGATCACGAGTTGCCAAGAACATGGTCAGGGCAACAGAAATTACACAAGATGTTGCTTTTGGAGAGCTTAACTTGCTTTCTGTGGAAGGAATGAACATATCCGCATTTCTGTCTGTTATAGTTATTATCTTGTATGTTTTTGCCTCTTCATTTAAAAACTTTAAGTTAAACATGTAACTGTCATGTAATCACCATATGTTTTTGTGGAGTGGAATGTGACCCGTCAGTATATGTCTATAAGATGTACTGATCGTATCAGACTAAGTGGCGTATCTATCACCTCAAAGGTTTCTCACTGCTTTATGTTGGAAACATTCAAACCTTCCCTGCCCGCTACTCGGAAATATACAATTAATTGTCATCAAACCCAGTTACCCTGCTGGGCTGCAAAGTGTTCGAAGTCATTCCTCCTGGGCAGCTGCCGCTGCTAGCCACCCTTGCACACACCGCCCTGCTCGCTTCCCAGGCTCTGGAAGCCACTGCTCCTCTCTCTGCTTCTGTGAGCTTAGCTTTGTTGGCTTTCACATTTCTTGAACATTTTTATAGTCATGTGTCCGCTTTTCCTTGCAGAAAAGGGACTCCCTGGTGCTTTCATTCAGAAAGCACAGAAAATGGAAATTCTCATGCTCGCTGTGACCTCCGCTTCCCAGGGCAGGGCTCCTCTTTCCCAGGCTCTGAGCATGGAAAGCGTGGGATTCTGCGAATGTTCCTACTAGGGATTCCTGCCAGTGTTTCACTCAGGCAAATGTGAACAATAAAGAGATAGTGAAGTTCCTTCTCATCTTTGCGTGTATGCTGCCTGCCCAGCCCTCTCAGAAATGCTATTTTGTGATGCGACCTTCCTAAATTGCCCAGGCTGGGCTTGAAAATTGTAGTCTTGGGCCGGGGAGATGGCTCCGTAGAATAAGTGCTTGCCTGGCAAGTGCAAGGGCCTGAGTTCAGTTCCCAGTTCCGAAGAAAAAAAAATACAGTCCTCATGCTCCAGCCTCCTGAGTAGCAGGGATTATGGGCATGTGGAACTGCACCTAGCTAAAGTGTACTTCTTTTTAGATTTTATTTCCCCTTCTCTTTAAAGTGTTTTTAAAACAAAACTTACCAGCCTTATTTTGGTTTTAGAAATCTGAAGTGATTGTCTAAGGCCTGAATTGAAAACTTAGGTTTTTTTTTTTTTTTTTTTTTTGAGACAGGGTCTCACTGTGTGGTTCAGTCTGGCCCTGTGCTCACTTTTGTAGCCCACAGGCTGGTCTTGAACTTTTGTCTTAACCTGCCGAATGCTGGGATTACAGGAGTGCACCATGATGCCCGGTTCAAAAACTTAGTTTTGAGAAAAAAATATAGACCATTTCTTAATGCTGGTAAGCACAGTGCATTAAAAAATGTGCCTATATTTGCAGGTTTTCCCAACAAAAATGTGACTAACTGCATTTATTTGTGTTATTTTAAGTGAGTAAATTTCTCTAGGTATCAATGGTATTTAAACCTGAAGTTTTATAATAAAGGGCTCCCCCCCCATTTTTCCAAATCATGTTTGTTGAGCATCATGGCTTGCTGAGTTTCTAACTTATTCTCATGGCAGTATGAGAATCATTCTTCAATGTTCAAAGATGTCACACCTTCGTGTTGTAAGAATTTGCATGTAATCAACAGCAAAGAGTGTGTCATTATTGCTACTGAAGTATTCCGTGCGCTGTGAAGCTGGGTGGAATGTGTTCTGAGAGCTGGCTGGAACCTCAGTGTGTGGGCAGGACCAGGGCTCCAGGCAAAAACACTGTCCTGATGCACAGATAGGAAACGGAGGTCTGGACTGGTTGGTTGTCTTGCCACTCACACAGCAGCAAGAGGCCATGCTCAATCCATCATGCCTCTTGCTATCGTGTGAAATGTCCCTCTGTGATCTGGGGGTGCCGGAGGGAAGCTGAAGTGGTCACCTGAGGAGGGAAGTTGGGAAGGTATCCAATGAGGGTGAGTCTGATTGGCAATCAACAAACTGAGAGAGAAAAAAAAAAAAAAAAAAAGGAAGAGAGCCAGGGCAGAGGAGGTAAGAGAACTGAGGCAGACCTGTGCTGTTCCTAAATACATCCAGAATGCAGTTACAAAAACTTTCTGGTTCTTCCAAGTGGTTTTGTTGACCCCAAATGATTTGAGTGAAGCACACAGATTACACTGTCTGATTCTGCATGGGCCTGATAGAGCTCCCGCCAGACCTCCTGAGCTCCTGAGTGGTGGTGCCTCAAGGGGAACTCAGCTGGCTGGGAGGCCGCTGGCCCATGGTTTCACTTTCCACACTCGCACTGGGACTTTCCAGCTCATGGCTCAGGAGGGCGTTGTGGCAGAGGAACCAAGAGCTTTTTATACTGTTAGCACTTACTGGCAACGTGTGCTTGGCTCTTCCCTTTTTGTTTTACTCAGCAAAAAATTATTCTTTTCAAAATATTCCCTGTGGATTATTATGTTCTTAAGGCCATGGGGCACACACTAGCCTTTAAATATTTTTTAGAAAAGATTCTCAAAGAGAGAAAGAGAAGAGAGAGAAAGGGAGGGAGGGAGGGGAGAGAGAATATGAGAGAGAGAATATGAGAGAGAGAGAGAGAGAGAGAGAGAGAGAGAGAGAGAGAGAGAGAGAGAGAGAAATAAATACAAATACACCCTGGAGGTAGAATGTGTTTTGCTTAATTCCAGTATGTGTCATTCATTGACTTTGTGACTTTCAATGACCCTTCTGGGTTTTGTCACCTATAAATGCAGACAGCAACAGTACCTACCTCACAGGTTGACTACAAGGTTAAAGTGAGTACTTATTTGCAAGATGCTTGCACATGTGCTCGGCCTGTATGAGGTGTGGCTGTTCTTCTCACTTACTGTCTGATGAAGCAAGAACTTTCTTCCTGTAGAACCGCTGGATAAAATTGTTTAGCTTGCCTTTATTTGACTCTGCTCCTTTCCAAAATCAAATAAACCACAGAACATTAGCACTGTTTTTTTTCCCATGCACTGCCTTTCATAAAGACCTCTTTCAGTTGATTTATAAGCCCTTTAGTTCAGAAGTAAGCTAATTTTTATTTGTTGTGCATTATTTGGGCATATATATCATTCAGTTACTTTTCTGGCTCCTCTAGAAGAAGATACACAAAAGTTTTTACATTTGTTTTCAGCCAACATTCATTTTTCATTTATTTTCATGTATTTTGTCTATTTAAATACTAAGATATAATAAGGATTAAGCACTTATTAATTTTTTTATGGATTTATAAAATACTTAACTAGCTTCTATGGCCACTCATTTTCCTTAGGAACAATATTCTTATTATAGAAAAGGGAAAGCAAACACAAAAGCTTAAGAAGCTTGCCTGTAACCAGAGAGTTCTTGTAAACTGAAAAGCAAAAGTTGAAATACAGGGATTGTCTCTCTTGTATTTGTGAGATACTGTATTTACAATCAATCTGTCAGCTAACTGTACTGCAGGTAGGTTTCTAAAGTCATACTTAAGTTTCACTAACTGAAATTACATGTATTTTTCAGTCTGAGTACTGTGGAGTTTACATCTTTACTGGGAAACTTCGAGGAAATATGTACGTTTCAACAGACACTCTGTCAAGCTTTGGAAGAATGTTCAAAGTAAGTGTGACGTATTAGGATGACCAGCAGCATCATTGTGAGGACTTTGTTTTCCTTTTCACTGAGTTCTTAGCTGAGGAATTTTATCATTTGCTACAGCTTTGACACATTTTCCCAGAACAAAACAACAAAACAGATTACCATTAGAAGTTTATTCAAGTTCTACATCTAGCAAATTATTTCTGATTTTAATTAGCAATCATCCATTCACTGCATGTGGTCACTATAAGATCCACATAAGGTCTTAATTTACCATGGGTAACAGTTTTGACATTATTTTCTTTTGTGTATTGTAAATTACTTGGAGAAGTCATTTCCGTTATTCAGTTTCACACATCTGTCCCCACTCTGTGCCAAGATACTTGTGCATGTTAAGCACGCTCAGCACTCCTAAGCGACACCCCCAGCTCTAATGTGTTTACGTTTAATCATTTCTGGTATTGTGTCTATTAAATTAAGAGTTGAGGGGCCGGGGAGATGGCTCAGTGGAGTAAGCGCTTCCCTGGCAAGCGTAAGGACCTGAGTTCAATCCCCGGTTCCACGAAAAAAAAAAAGAGTTGAAAAACATGGAAACTGAGGAAAGAAGATTTTATGTGAATCACAGCGCATTTTAGACGGCTAGTTGATTGCTGAGATATGCAACTTTTTGGTTTCTACAGAGAAACTGAGGGTGATTCCTTGTCTCTTGAGCCTTATGGTACGTAAGTGGTTGTTGAGGGAGAAGACGAAGACATTCCACACTGCAGACTCCTGAGGACTTTTTTTTTTTTTTGCGGAACGGGGGATTGAACTCAAGCCCTTGCGCTTGCCAGGGAAGTGCTTATTCCACTGAGCCATGTCCCTGGCCTCCCCCCTCCCCAGGACTTACTTTGAATAACAGTAGGGATCTGGACCATTCATATGCAAAGATGTTCACTCAAAAGGGTATTTTACAAACTAAACTCAAAAATAATATCATGGTTTCCATTTTATAGAGGAACATATAGAAAGAGGCTCTTGGAATATGTCATAAGCTATAGTAGATATCACCAAATAAGATTCTGAGTAATTTTTCTTATGCTTTTCTAATTGTGCTATGAATGAAAATAGGTAGTATGTAATGTAAACTAATTTTCAAAAATTAAAGTCACCTGCCTAATAACCACCAGGCCAAGAAGACTACAAAATAGTTTTTTTGTGGATTATTGCTTTTGGATTAGATTATGTTAGTTTTGCCTGTACTTAAAATTTCTCAGATAAGAATACTTTTAGTATGTCAAGCTGAATTTGAATATGAATTGTAAGAGTAAACAGCTCTACTTACTAATTCCAGGTAACTATCTGACTCTACATTGTTGTTTAGAGTTGAAGGCAGTGGTCAAAAACCTCATTTCATGGATAAAATGGGCTCTAATATGCTTCCCTTTCTAACAGTGATAAAATATCCAAAATGTTTACATGCTGCCAGTTTTAACTGGAATCATTTTCCTTTACCTTCTGTTTCCTGTTTTACATTTGTGTTTTGCCTGTATTGCTTACAGGTTTCCAGAAAATCAACACAAAGTAGGAGGTTGTCTACTGAATCTCATGCCTCATTTTAAATCGATGTATCTGTCTTACTGTGCAAATCATCCTTCGGCTGTAAATGTGCTCACCCAGCACAGGTAAATCATGAACATTTCTCTAACTGGACGGTTTTGCAATGAGTTTCTTTCTTAAGATCCTGGAAATCCAAGGTCTCTGGTTCAGCTGTATTATTCCTGCTTTTGACACCAAGAATGTATTCATTTTTTTTCAAAGTTTTATTGATAAACAGATAGCAATGAGACAGTTTCAAATCAAATCGGAAGTACAGTTTCAACAAATACTACACTGCATATACTCTTCTTAGTGGTTAATTGCTGTACAAGATGCAGACTTGTGATCCTATTTACAAGCACCATTAGAACAAATCATTCTATTCATTAAGAGAGTGCAACTATATATCTATCCCAACCACTTTAAATACACAGATACAAAATGGACAACATCGGTATACCCCATTTTTTCTAAGTTCCGTTATTGAATATTATAGGTGTGTAAACTCAGCAAAATATTCTAAAAGAGTCCAGTAGCCCATAATA